CTGATTCTCTACAGGCGAGTCATGCTGCAGCTGCTCAGGGTTAAGGAATTCCTCAAAGTATTCTCTCCATCGCCCAAGAATGTCCTTATCTTCGGTAGGAGACCTGACCTTCGCGACACTTAGACTGCCCTTCTTTTCACCTATTAGCCGGCGGATGGTCTGCCAGAATACCTTGTTTGCCGTCTGGAAATTCGACTCCAGCATCTCACCGAACTTCTCTCAGAAATAGACTTTGGCTCTTGCTGCTGCCTTTCATGCTTCTTCATGACGCATACGAGTTGAAGACTTTGCATCCAACTTATTTCTTGAATGCAGCCTTGTTTTCCTTAACTGCCAGCTATATTTCTTCTGTGTATCATAAAATTCTTTTCTGACCTCCAGATAGTAGGCCAACCGTTTAAATCCGCAACATTCGGCGGCAACCTCCTACACGCGACATGTCGACTCCTGAGTAGAATGGTTTCCACCCACAGGGGTTTAGAGTTCCCGAGCTTGAGCGCTTCGTTGGCGAGAGTTCAACTATGTGGAGTTGGTACCTTGCGGCCTTATCAGCTAACTCCCGCTCTTTCCCATGGAATGATAATATATTCCAGTTCCTTACTGTATGCTCCAACTGGCGGTATCGTTTCTTTAAAGTCTTTTCTGACGTGCCATAATGACATCGCATTGTCTGCCTCCTCGATTCTGCATGAGTGGCGGCTCCGTTGCTGATTGGTATCTTCGTTGTCATTTTGTCGATCTTCGTCAGGTGTCGGTGTGCTGCTACGCCTCCGACTGGCAGAGGGCGATCAGCAGCTTCTGATCGCCGAGTTTTCGCAGCTTGCCTCAGTCCCCCGACATTTTTCCCTTGGTTAGGCCAGGAACGGTTGAGGTGGTATAATTTTCGATTACGGAAATACCATGAGGGTAGGTTGCTAAGTTTTAGCTTACTCGACGGTCTTCAGTCTCCTTCCTTTTTCGTCCAATGTTGGAACCGTTGACGGCAGAGATTTCACATTAGTTTGGAATTAGTAGAATTTAACGTGTTCAACGCTTGCTTCATTTAGCTGTATGGATCTACGTTTTACTTTGTTCACGACTATCCGCTTAATGCGAGAAAGAGGTAATTGATGCCAAAGTGATCTATATATCCAACTCATCTTCGATCCGAATGCTCAAAGTTCAGTGGAGAAGTTAAATTTTCTTTACTTGAAGGCTGCACTGCTTTTTTATTGTTTCGAGTCAGTGACTGAGCTGCATGTTTTTACTCTGTTTGGCAGTTTAGGTATGGGTTCAAGCTGATGAGAAAGATCTGAACTCGAAGGCAGCTTTGATTGTTTTACCTTATTACCGTATGGCTTGAAATTGGCTATGGCTGCTTTGTCGATTTCTTTTGTTGGCTTTTTTCCTCCCTGCCATTTATGTTTATCACTTAATTATACATAGATATTTTTTTCTTTGATCTGTGGTGAAAAACAAGATACTTTGTTGATACAAGCCGGCGCAGTCCACTGGTTAGTCGTAATCATCGTTATGATCGTTCGATATGATGGTCCTTTGTGTTTAAGCTGTGAGACTTCTTCATTTCCTATATTTGTGTGACTTTCGTTCGCTTTCGCCATTCCGCCTTATTCCTGTCGACTTTGTCTTTTATTGGCTTGGAGGTTCACCTTCGCTGTAGTCATACACACCGGGTCTGTTACGTAGACGACCACTTTCGTCATGGTCGTCCAGTGAGACGATGTTAACAGCATAATCTAAATCGCTAATGCATTTCTCCGGATTTTTTTTAGCATTTTATCTATTTGAGCATGAAACTTTCCTTGATACGATTTGTTATTATACTGACCACCGACCTGAGGAAAACGTACCTCACCTTTCTGGACGCTGTTTCTGATCTCTGGCCATCTTTATTCTACAGTAAGCCAAAGAATATTTACTTATGCTCATCAAGCATTCCGTAATACCTCGAGGACCGGCGTTGGTAAGTTGATAGGGCATCGAACACAGAATCGAGACGTCTATGGATCGCGGCCTTTTTGGATCATTATTGCGTTTTCTTCTTTCTAGTTCATAACTGAGTATCACTCTGTGGAAAGGACATAGAAGACTCTACATTATGCCTGCCATGTAGCTTTTGTTCACTCTGCCTTTAAAATAGGGCACTTATAGCTCATAGCATGGAAATGGCGATTAGCTTCTCATCATTAAGTTAACAAAAGGGAAAGGGGACTGGACATGGTTCCGTCATGAAGATGTAAAGAATACTGACTTTCTAGCAACAACAGATTTTGATTTTTCTTTCCTTTTTTGGGTCGCCCCTTTTTTCGTTCCATGAACAAGAGATCGGTTGGCTTTCAGCACTAGCTATCTTTGTGCCATCATTGTCGAAAATCTACACAACAGTGCACACCAGTAAAGATTGTCGCTACAGACGGCAGTACAGCTGTTTTTTAAAAGCTCTAACCTTCGCAGAAACTGCGAAAAGAATCAGGATGCTGTTTCCCACAGCTTCTTTCCACCTTTAAATACTAGTACTTCACCAGTATGCATATTTTTTGTGTTAGCTTCGATCGGCTCTGAGACTCGTTACCAGAGCAAGTTAACTCTCATATAATACTATCTTAAAGCAAGAATAAGTCAGAATGTAAGATCTATTGTAAGTTTATTAGAGTTTGTTTTGACTGATCTACTCCGCTGCGTAAAGCTGGTAAAGTAGTGGTACTTCGAGGTCTGTTGTCGAATTCGAGACACGTCCATACCCTGAGGAACTGCTAGAACTGGATCACATACTGAAAGTACGTGATCCACAGATGGCTCGGTTTCTGTAGAAAAGTAAACGAAGTTGGCTGAATGCATTTAATAAATCTTATCCTGCTGATCCGTGTAATTCGATGTCAGTTATTAGCATATTAAGATTATACGCCTAATTCATCTTCATTCTTTCTTCCTATTCTTATTGCTGTTGTATATTATACTGCTTGGTTGTATAGGTGCTGTTTTTACTAATTCAAACAAGCAGTAAGTGCTATTGATTGAAATCCGTCGTTCGATTTTCCGGGTGTTAATCATTTCATTCAACATTTTATCGATTATTCGGATGATCTGCGCTAGAATTGCGAGGCTGCGTGAAATTTTTCACATTATTAATAGTATTGAATTTGTACCATAATAATATTATTACTTCTAAGATGCTGGGGTAACAAATATAGTACATGCATACATAGTCAAAAATCGGTTTGCTTTGTGTGCAGATCACTTTGGTAAATTGCTACTACTTGGTCGTATATTTGTATAATGCGTTGCGCTGCTGTCCTTAAGGTAAATTAGTGGTGGTGGATTTTAGGCTTCACGGAGCTGATTAAAGTATTTCTCGTAATCAAGTGTCGAAAAGCAACAAAACTGCAACGAGATCAGAGCCAGTGATTGATAAATGGCTACCGAAGGTCTTTCGTGTAGGCAGGTCATTTCCCGAGTCGAACCTTCTGCGGAAGTTGAGAAGCGGGAGTCTTCGGCGGCATCCACATCGACGACGGCGGAAGAACGACTTCGAGAGACGATCATATCACAGGCTCGAATCCTGGCGCAGTACAAAAGCGGTTTCGCCGAGAAAGATCGAATGATCCAGTGGTTGCAGGCAGACAACTTTCGGGTATAGTCTTGTAAAACTTCAAAACTTTAAGTAAAGTAAAATTTCACTTTGTCAGCTGCCACTCGCTCGATCACCGGACTGCGGCCGGACGTCAGACTTCGCTGGTCGCCCAAAGGTGAGAAACCGAGTTCAAACCAGGGTCATGCTTTCTGTGTTCCTCATCTCCTCAAACGCTTAGCTGCTTGCACGGATACTAATGCTAACGCAGTGGTGGTGGATAGGTTCGTCTTGCCTAAACAAACATAGGACAGTAGTCGACATGAAATACTGACCTTTTC